AGCTTTTGTGTTGGATTCTTCCTTTTTTAGCTCTGCATCAATATTTCTTGTTTGTGTATTCCCTGTGCAATGAGTGGAGGGATCCCTGTGAGTATGCTGGTGGAATTGCATGTCTGATAAGTGATTGGAGAGAGAATGAATTATAGCCTGGAGACCTTTAATGAGGCCTCAGTGGGAGGGTGGGTGAGGCTAGAGAGAAGGGGGTGGTGGGTGCAGGTGAAAGCAGCTGCAGCTTTTCTCAAAGGGAAACCTCCACCCCCTCCCTCTGATTTCTCCTTCACTCCTTTTCACGTCTTAATTTCTCTTAGCCACCTTTCCATCTTGCTGCACCCCCCCACCCCACCACCACCTTTTCCTTCCTCTTTTCTCCTCAGCAATCCCCCATCCTCATTATGGACGCCTGACACAGCACATGTTCAGTCCTTTGTGTGGTGGTGCCCTTTTTATTATAGGGTTAAATAGCAAAAATCCTTAATGGAGCAGAAGTTCATTTGATGACTACTGTGCTTGTGTGCAGATTTATATGGACGCATGGATGATTAAATATTTAATTTTTTCACGTGTGCTTGTGTTTGTGTGTTTTGGGATGTTGGGTGTATTAAGAGGAGTCTGAAAGGAGTTTGAAAGCAGCTAGATTGGCATGTGTGAAAGCCATGAAAAGCCTGCTACCCCCAACACTTGTGCCAATCCGCTCACACTCACACACATAAACATTAGTCCTGCCAATCGGTCCTTTTTGTGCTGTTTTTCATCCCAGTGCCATAGTGGTGCCAGGCGACACGGATCGTGAGAGGAATTTTAGACCGCACGGAAACTTTAAGTGTGTGTGTGTGTGTGTTTGTGTGTATGAATGATTCACCTCAGGAGATCAAACTGGGTTGCCATAGCAGATGTATTCACCCAGAGCAACTCACAACAAAATGCTTTAAAGGACGGATGACGTTTGATGTGACTGACGGCCAGATGGACTCAGTGCCACTTCTCACTGCTTCAGTCAGTTTTTACCTCCTCAAGACTCACTTAATAAAGTCTTTTCAGTGCAACTTTTTCCCAGCTCGAACTCTTTCTGTGTGTGTGTGTGTGGCTGACATTAAAGTGTAGAGAAAGCGACAGAGGGATGTGATTATATGGAAATCGCTGTATGAAATGTGGTAAGCTGAAAGTAGAGCGCCTGTGGATCCACCTCCGAAATCTCCTCCAAGGCTGATTGACAGCTGGACCCTAGCTTTCAAACAGATGTTGCCGCGGTGACTTAGCCAAGAAAACTCTCTTCCAGTGTAGTTGAGGATAAGCAGACTATTTAAAAAAGCGCTGAACTGAGAGAATGAGATTAGCAAACACTGAATAGGACACAAAATGAGCAAGAGATGCGGGTGCTGTTCCCTTGGCCTGTTTTAGCCACACATCTGGTCTTCACTGACACCTTTAGGTACCATATGCCACACAAATATGTCTGACATGAGATACCATAAATCTGTTACTTCAATCTTCATATATTATTATATTCAAGAAAGTTGCTTCTATTTCTGTTTTCCTTCATGTCTTTTTTTCTGTTTATTCTTGTTAATGGAGTCCTCGGCTTTACAAACCGCCCCCCTCTGATCATCATTTATGTTGAACGTTGGCAGCAGGGAGATAAACCACATGCAAACAGCGCATGAGAGTCTGGTTTGTATTTCTGTGTTTGTTGTTCCATATCAGAGTGAAGCTACAAAGAGGTCACTCACATATAAGTGTGTATGCACGTTAACAGGAAGAGGCGGGGCTGTATGTATTGATGGAGAGATCTCTCTACGTTTCTGTGTGTGTGTCAGTGTTGGGGGATGGGGTCGAGGCTGCGTTTGCGTCTTTGTCAAATAAATTATTTAAATCCCCCAACAATTAAAGCTGAAATCTGTTATCAGCGTCCTCCATTAGAGGCCCGTGTGTCTGCCTTGCTGCCTCAGTATGCTCCTCGCTTGTTCCCCCCTGTCTGTGCTCAGCGTGGGGCTGGATAAAGATCACAAGCTCTGAATCTTAAACACACATCCCAGCAGAACAAAGGCTAACAGCACGCAACTGTGACCCAGGGACTCACACACACACACACACACACACACACACACCGAACGTCTTCATCACAGGAGCGTATGAATATTTTGACGGCGGTCCTTTTGATGCGAAATGTTGATGAAATGTTACTCGCGTCTCAAGAGTCGTGGAGTGTTTAATTTGCGGGATGTTGTTGTAAGTTGGAGGTGATGTGTGACCTGAGGTTGGAGGGTGTGAAGAGTGTACAATGGGGGTTGCCTTTTACACGTGCTGTAGACGTTCTTCAGGATAGAGCTTTGTTGCAGTGCATGATGGGAAATCTGTTAGGGTCCTGAGCTCTGTATTCACACCTTGTGTCTGCCTCTCTTTAAGTTTTACTGCCTCTTTCTTTTCCCCTTGTCTCATTACTCCCTCTTGACAGCCATTCTCTCCCTCTTTCCATTTTACCTCACTCTCTCTCTCCTCTTTCCCTGCATGTTTTTTTTATTGCTGTAGCAAAATGCCCATTAGTCATCTTAGAGAGCAGCCTCCTTCACCTGTGTGTGTGTGTGCGTGTGTGTGTGTGTATACTGATGTCAGGGGTTTCATTCAAATAATAAATGGTATACATTGGAAAACTTATAATTCATGAAGGAAATCTCAGTTAATATTTGAAAAACACATGATGTGTCTGACTTCAAAAGCAAAACAATTTGCTGCCATCTGCCTCGTTATGACTCAGTAACAGATTTTTCTTCTTCTTTTTCTTCTTCTTCTGGTTCTGGTCCGTCGTCCTCTTGTCAAAGATATCACCGTTTTTGAAGTGAAAGATATGAAAAATGAGTATTAATACCTAGAGCTGGTCCATGATGAGACTGACTTAGACACACATTACACAGCAATCTGAATTTTACAAAAATCAACAAATGTGTCAACTAAGTCAACATTTTGGGAAATACCCTTGTTTTTCTTTTTGCTCAGAGTTCAAAGAGAAGATTGATACCACTCTAATATGTGGACCTACTGCGGGCAGCTGGTTAGCTTAGCTTAGCTGTAACCGTGGAGACAGCTACCCTGGCTCAGTCCAAAGGCCACAAAAACTTGTTATGTTATCCTATTTGTTTACATGTTCTTTTTCAAAGTCATCACCTTGAGGTTGAGGTAACAATGTGTTTGCATTACAATTTACTTGCTTTTGGACAGTTTCCCCGTTGCCAGTCTCTATGATAAGCTAAGCTTCTTAGCTTCTTCTTCTCATCTTTCGGAGACTACATCAAATTTCGCATTTTGTCTGACGACAAAAATATTCATTGTACAGTGATGTAAGCGGTACATTGTCATGATTGAGAACCTGAAGTCATAAAATGTTTGGCAATCAGCTTGAAAAATTACTTAAAAGATGAAGCCACTATCAAAATATTTACATATTAATTTCTGTCGATAAACTAAATGATTAATCATTGCAGTTCGAAGGCTATGTAAAGTTTTCCAACATTTGTCATAACTTTTTTCTTTTCTTCAGCACAACAAAAATTCTAGATGTCATCTCCAGATAGTTTTTATTGTAAATAGGAGAGTTATTAAAAATAATGAGAACTATAATGTTAAAACACTAAACACAGATTTTTTCTTCTCTTTTGAATGATTAATTCATAGTTTTATGTATTTTTTCCTCATGAATGCAGTTTTTATCTTTATTTGTATATATTTTAATTAATGGAGTGGCATAATGTATTTCGTGTTCAATTTATACATGTGCATTGTTTGGTAAAAAATAATGCAGCTCTCCTCTCACTTTCACCCACATTTTCCCTCCGTCACTGTACGCTCAAACATTTTATGTGACACTGAAAAAGAGGCCGGCTTGTTTGGTGAGTGAACAAGATGAAAATTCATCCCGCCTACTTGTCTCTTGTTGATGTCTGGATCTTGACAGGAAGTTGGAGTTGATTGATGGCTCTCTGGTTCAGGGTGGCAAGTGGCCTGCACAGATACCGCCAAGTCACTGTTTCAGTTGCACATTTTTGTGTCCATTCCTGCACTCTGACTGATAAATAGCAGTCCTGCCAGTAATTTAGTTGTTTTGGAAAGTATTTCAAGGCTCCTGATTCAGCAAATGTGAACTCTGTTTAATCTGATAAAAATGAGTTTGTTATGCTGATTGTACTGCTTGATGTTCATGCTGCTTTCTTCTAGTGCAAGGTTGGCTTTATTTGTTCTTAGCAGTTGCATTGTGTATGTTTGTGTGTGTTTTTCTGTATACACACCTCAGATTACTGTTGGCGTTGGCACTGCTCACTGCACAGTGTATATATAACAAATAAAAGCCCATTCCTGCACTGCCTTGTCTTTATGTGTGTGTGTGTGTGTGTGTGTGTGTGCGTGTTCAGGTCACCTATTTGTGAGAAGAGGCTAATACTATTTTTAAATAGGATGAAGAAGGGATAAATCCCCATTCATATGCCGCATTCCTGTGTGTGTGTGTGTTGGGCTTTGTGTGCACTATAGCTCATACATCTCTGTCTCAGATTGGACCTGCAGTGTGTATCTCCATTGGGATTCTTGGGTCTAGCTCTGCTGAGAAAGCACACCCAGACTGATTTCCTCTTATTTATGCCAGTCTTTCTCTTCCTTGCTCTCTCAATTTATTGCCTGCATCCTTCCCATTCTGCCTGTGTCGCTTCTTTTACTCTTTACTGACCTTCACTTGTCCTTCATTCCTCGGATAGACACATACACTTACACACCAGACATTTGCTCGAAGGCTGGATTTGTATAATTGTTTGTGTGAGTTTGTGTGCTGGAAATAGCCTTGTCCCTGTACGCTGGTCATAATTAGCCAGGCTGATGCTCTGAAGCTCTGTGCTGCCAAGACAGAATTACAATCCTCCCATAAAATACAGGCACACTTGTATAACTGAGTGACACTTGAATGAAAATCACAAATTTCCTGACTTTAATTCTCTTTTTTCTTTCCTCTCTGTTCCCAGTGATCTGCTGTCTTCAGGGTACGTGGAGAGGCATTTGTCAGAAAAAGGGAAGACTGTCGTCACCAATGTAAGATTCTGCGAATCATCTCTCCTCATGCTCACACACGCCTTCACTATTAGACTATTTGCAGTACAATGCAGGCCACAGGGTCTTTGTGGTTCCCTGGTCTTGACATTAGGACCCCATTTACCCCTGGTATTACCATGCCATCTGTGTCTGGGTATGTGGATAAGAATAAACGGATGATAACATGAGGTGTAAATGCATGCAGAACACTTTAAACTTGCATTTAAATTACAATTGGATCAGCCAAAACACATCTGGAGGTGATCTGGACTGTAATCAGATCTCTGGCAGGTTCAAATACAATCTGTACAATTTAAACACATTCTTATATCTGCTGTAATCTATATTTTATATCAGCAATGCATCAAATGACCATGTGTAATGTGAAATGTGTGACTCGTAGTGACACACCCACAGAGAATTATCACTGTTTCCTCAACTTTACTGTTTTGATTCACTCTCTCTGCTCTCATTAGCATTATTCAGGCATGCTATGAAGTTAGCAACTAGCTGGTGAACATAAAGGAGCATGTAGCAGCTAAATAACTTTTTTTGTAGGTGGAGACCAAAAGAGAGCTAAAAGAATAGTGAATATTTCACTTAAGCCGTATTTCCTCTAAATGGTAGGGCTCAACTTGTTTTTGGTCTCTACTTCATGTTCTACTGTAGATAGTACTTTGAATAGTAGATAGCTCTCTTTCGCTCATCCACACTAACTACGCACACAAAAAGGAGCTGCAACTCTTATAAGGGAGGATATGAAGGGATGGTGTTCTTGATTTGTCTGATCTTTGTTAGTTGACATGGTGTGGTTCGGTGGGCTGCCTTTTTTGAGTGAAGGAAAAAAATTTGGTTGCTATTGATGGCTAGTTAAAAATGCAGGGTTTTGTGCGGGAATCAGTGTTCTGCAGTGTTATCAAAGTGCCTTTTGAAAAAACAAAAAAGAGCAAGTAGTGCTAGTCAACCATGTCAACCACACGGTGGAAAGTAACTTTAGGTGACAGGTGCCCAGAAACATAATTTCAAATCAATTGTAATGTTGTTCAAAGTGTGCTGGCACTTTATAAGGTGATAATATATCAGCAGGCAGATGTTTTCAGTGAAAAAGTTATAAGAAACAGGCTGTAAACGACTTAATCAGCACCAAACAGCAGACAAACAAAGTTAGGGACTAGCTGGTAAACATAGTCAAAAATTTAGAGCCAGATTAGTGAAGACCAAAAGCTGAGCTAAAAGGAGCGTGAATATATCGGCTCCACTGAAGATTCGTTCTCAGCTGTGTGTTGTTTAGCTGCAATTTCCTGTAGACGTTACAGGTTCTTCTCCCTCCCTGAGCTCTTTATTGGTTAATCAATGTGTTACTTTGCACACACAGAGAAATCACAACCCGTCCAGCCATCCGGTCTTTGTTCAGCTTAGATTTCAGAGGACCAAAGTAGATCGGTAGCTGTGGTCCAAACCTTCAACGAACATGAAATTAAGATTGCTGTGATAATCCTCTGAAATCTGGACTTCAGTTACAGGACACCCACTAAGGCGTTGTGTCACATCATATACTGTAAGTGGGGGGATTATAATGGTCAGGATTTACTCAGCTAAGCAGCAGATTAGTGAGATATTAGATACTTTATAGAGAATTATCCAAATTATTACACCACATATTCTATGATATAGTCACTTGTAATTATGGAACTTATTATAAAGAGATCTCTCTGTGTGAATTAATTCACCTTGTAGATGAATATCCAGAATGAATTCTGTCTGCAGTCTATTCCCGTACTTTCCATTTTAAATAGTGGAAAGAGTAAGAGGCACTTTGCATCTTTATTAATGGATGCTGTTCAGGAAGGTTAATATGAGACAAGCTCCTGTTTGTTACTCTGCTCACAGAGGTCGAAATGTCAGCCATCATAACACAGCTGCTGCTGTACCCCAGAATCCCCTCTGTTCATGTAGGTAGTAGAAGTAACACATACGGTTAAATGTGTTTGTCCACAGTTAGTTTATTCCAATGAATGCAGGACAAATGCCAAATCCTTGTTCAGCACAAAAACACATTCCTCTGTTCAAATAAAGCTAACATTATGCTACAGCTGTCTATAATGAAGAATGTGAGTAATTATTGTAAAAAGAAAATGCTGAAAGGATAAAAGAGACAAACCCAATTTTTTTAGCAATTCATTGAATTTTTTTGTTAGACATATGTAACATAATTTTTACTTAAACGCTGACTGTTGTTTTGTGCTGAACAATGATTCTGAACATTTTCCTCAATTGCATTGATTTGTAGATGGAAAGCTCAGTCTCTCTGTGTCCCATAAGAGTAAAGGGATCGAACTTACTTACTGTTTTATGGATTGGAGGTATGGATAAAGTCCTCCATCACTGTATATATAATTTTATATTTCCACATCAGTATACTATATATACATGATATATATTATGGAAAATCGGTTGAAACATCAGAAAGGAACGTCTCTTTCTGGCCAATTTATCAAAGAAAGACCTGACAAATCAAGGTAGTTCATCACATTAATGAAACACATTTTTATTATTTGTTTTTATGCAGGGTACAATGCACATTAATCAGCATTGACGTTTTAAAAATGTCACTGTAAATGTGCTAGGGTTATCATAACAGCACCCATAGTCCCAACACTGCTAAAAACTGACAAATGAAAACGAACTGAAGCTGTAGTTAAAATATAAATAAATAATGAAGTTACCACACTCCTAACAGTTTAAATCAAACAATACAACCAAGCAAGTAGAAAACAGTACAAACAAGTTAGAATAAATTTAGACTCAATTTAAACACCATGTGCTGTTTGAAACTTTGCATGCTGGATAAATTATATATCTGAATGAGTAATTTAGTACTTATTTAGTAAGTGTTTGTTTATAAAGCACTGTACAACCAAATAAATTAATTTAACTAATTTTTTAAGAAAAACTAACTACATTTTGTATTTTTTGTATATTCATTTTCTCAAATTTTTAAAAACAAGATACCAACTTAAAAGTTATTAATCAGAAATGTTTCTGTAACTTACTAAACTAAGTTAGTGCCACATAAATTACTAGTAAAAGCATCTTAATCAAGAATATTTTTTAACCTAAAGAATGTAGTTTGTGTTACCTAAAGATTTTAATGTAATCAATTTCAGCAGGGTTTTGAGTTAAATGAACTTATCTGATTTTACAGTGAGTGAATCTATTGGCCTTAATATGGAAACTCCCATCATATAATTTCTAAATATGTAGTATGGATACATCAGTACTTCAAGAAATAGTGCTACAAAATGTTTGACAGCTGATAAAAGTTTGTTTCATGGAGTATTTTGTCATATCTGTATGAGTGGGAGGTGGGGATAGGCTGAATCCTTGTGGTACATCAAGTGTGAATACTGTACATGCACAAACTCCATCATCCACACATCCACACTTTCTGTCTCATGAATTGTAGAATAATATATATATATTTGTGTAATTTTCTTATTCCTATTCATTATCTAGTTAATGTACTCGCTCAGACGCTCAGAGGGCAGAGTGTCCTACTTGTTTACCAACTGTCTGACCTCGACCTTTTCATTGTGCATTGTTGTGTCCAGATTAGATGATTAATGCCTCTTATATGGGTCTAAGGAGATCACAGATCAGACCAATTTAGCAACACACTCACGCACACACCTATACACACACACACACACACACACACTGAGGATGTACCCACTGCACTGGGTTTTGGGTGTTTCTTGCTTTGATGAGAAGTGGAGCAGAAGGTTCAGGGCGACAGGGGGAGGAGAGACGCTTGGATAGTAGAGCACAGCACCGCTTATAAATAGCCCTCTCGGTCTCTTCATTTCACTTTCGCTCTATGTCTCTTTACCCAACCTCTCTCTCTCTATCTGTAGCTCCATTTAGGTTTATCTACCCAACTTTTTTTGTCTCATTCATATGTTTTATCTCTGTCATTGTAGTGTATATTTTCCCATTAATCTTATTTGTTAATTCTTGGATGTAATATTGTGGAAATTGAGTAAGAGAGAGTCTGGGTTAATATGATACACGCCTCAAGTGCATAGCTTGTTTCCTTCGTCCTATAAGACTCAGAGTCACAAATAATAGCTTAGAGTTACATAATTGGAACTGTGAGTGAGAGCAGAGAACCGTAAAACAACAAAAAAGAAATCAAACTCAGCATGACTGATACAATTGCACTCCAATAATTCAATAACAACTTTGGAAGAATTTGACACACACACACACACACACACACACACAAACACACATTTGTATTACTAAACATTTATGAGAGGAAAGACTAGAAGCAAGGGGAAACAACTGTGGAGAAGAAACAAAATCTGCCTACCAACAGCTTTAAAGCTCACTAATTAAAACATTACATCTCCTTTGTTTATTACATACAAAAACAAAGTGTAAAACTTTCTGGAGTTCAGCAACCTATTGACGTCAAAGAAGATATAATGTAGTAATTGGTGAGCTGGTGGGCACATTTTGTTACCTTTGGACGGAGCCAGGTTAGCTGTTTCCACTCTTAACGCTAAGCTAAGCTAACCATCTGCTGACTCCAGCTCTGTGCTTAGCACACAGACATGCTAGTTGTTAGTTAGTAGTAGTTGTTAGATAGTTAGGAAAGGAAAAGGAAAAGGAAATTGAATAACTGTATTTCCCAAAATGTTAAATTGTAAGGAAAATCTCAATGCATATATAATATTTAGACACTGTGTGCTTCCATCTTTATGGCAACAGTTTAATGTCTCAACATGTCTATATAACTGGTAGAAATGGTTTTCCAAGTTTAAAGTGGAAGAATTTAGCTCTCCCGTACAGAACCATGACCTCAAACCCATCCAACACTTTCAGGATGCACTGGAAGGCCCATAATAAGGGACAGACCTCACTGATGTTCTTGTGGCTGAATGGGAGCAAATTCCTGCAGCCAGTTCCCACAGTTTTATGGAAAGCCTTCATGATAATGCAAGTTCAGGTTTTCACATACTTTTGGCCATATAGCTTAACAACAACAAGAAATGCATACATACATACATACATGCATCCTTACACAAACCCATAAGAGTTTAGATTGAGAGGCGTAGATTGGGAAGTCCACAGAGAGAGCTGGAGTGGATAAAGCAGTGCGTTGCCGTGCACAGCATCAGACTGTAGAGCAGAAATTGATCCTCTTATAAAAGCTGCGTTTCCTCAGGGAGGCCGGCTTCCTGCCTAATGGCTGTTAGGCAGCGAGAAATGGACCAGGAAGAGATGGCCTGCAGAGCACTTAGACACTTAGACATCATACACGTCTATAGAAAATGAATGTGTGTTTACACTTGCAGAGAGGGGAAGAAGCACATACACACACACACACACATATAGATAGATAGATGAAGATAGAGGGTGAAGACTATGAGTTTGAGTGTTTGACGGCGAGCGGTGACCGAGATGGAAAAAGTGTAACGTGATGCTATGACTTCCTATTGTGGGTAGAAGTTGGGACAGAGGAAAGAGAAGTTACAGAGCAGTTAACACACAGATGGTAGTATGTGATTGGGTTAAGATCAAAGTGCAAAGTACCACACAAATAAACAGACAGAGAAACAGTACACGTACATGCACATATCTACACCAAATCATACACTTGCATGTGTTAGCAAATGAATTCTGTGTGATTGATCGCTCTGAACTCATTTCCTGATGGAATATGGGAATCAAAGCAGCAAGAGGAATATTTCGCTCAAGTGTGTGAAACGTTTTAGGAGGCAGCCATGTGTATGATCTTAATCTGTGAGTGTTTGTGTTTTGCTCACAGGGAGGAGAGCACTGCTACTACCAGGGGAAGGTCAGAGACATCCCTCACTCCTTTGTGGCTCTCTCAACCTGTCATGGATTGCAGTAAGTACAAATATTATGTGTCCTTTATGTGTGTGCATATGTGTGTGTTTTCCCAGCCAACATTGCTGCCTCTGTGTGTGTACAGGTCCTGTGCCTTGCTCCCATTTATCCATTAGGTCAATGTAATTAGTTTTAGCCGGCCCATCTCTGTCTCTCTGCATTTTTCGTTACACAATCATTCACTCAGACAGGTGCTGCTCAGACGTCTTCTTCTTTTCTCTTCTCTTCCTGGTGTTGGTATTTTTAGAGTTTGTGCTCTAACGCAGTGCTCTGTCAGAGAGAGGGGTCAGAAACAAGGCCTGCTGGAGGAATGCATGTACACTGCATATGCGTGTTATGGTTTAGTATATGTGCGTGTGTGTGTATGCTTTTTATATGCAGAGAAGGGAGAGAGTGGCCATCTTGCTGGGTAAACATGTATTATGTGGTACTGGATTTGTCATTGTGTGCTGACAATACAAAACTTGCATAAAAAGGCACCTGTGAATAATTAAGTATAACACATGCGCATGTATTAAATTTTTTCACCGTCTCTTATTCACATTTCCTGAAAGGAAACAGTATTCTCCCAAAACTGTGAACACTGCTTTGGCCACACTATAGCGTATATTTAACACATAGTGCTGGCAGTTTTTTATAACTTTAATTATTTAGGTGTCTTAAAAAGTTACAGTAAGAGAGGGCTATCTCTGACTAAAGATTTTCCTAGGGGACTAGTAGTTGTTAGTTAAAACCATTAGTCAACTTGTCGTTGGATGTTTATGATATTAATGAAATTATTTAAATATAAATATTTGAACAGCTGCCTGTTAAATGATAATGGGAAAAGTGGTAATGATTCTGAATGTGTCAGAGGCTGTGTTGGTCCCGGTTGTCGTCACTGGGAGGCTGCTGAGCCCAGCTTTGTTGCCTGCTCATCCTACTCCGGCTCTGGTTCTGTTCTAGTGGTGTAAACCTTCTGGTACTTTGAGCTCGCAGTCAGGGTACAGGCAGCTAATAGGACCACTAACTAGCTAGTGACAGCAGCTAGTACTGTGTTACAAAAGAAAAGGTCCCTGTTGCAACGATCCCCTGATACTTAAGTCCTAGTGTCACGGTGCAGCTCCCAAAAGGAGTTTGACGTTGTTTTTGTTTTTCTGTGACTATCCTTCAACTCTTCTCATGACTAACAGTTTACTATTTGGGGTCAACCCTAAAAGAAAGAAATAATAACCAAATCTGAAATAATAGCATGTATCTGTAAACTAGAAAAGAAAACGGTGCTAGAAGAAGCGCTCCTTGTCAGTCTGATTCTGCTCATTCATAAACAGTAATCCTTATATTCATGGTGTGATTCATCATCCTTGGTAGTGTTTGGATCCCGAGGACTGTGTTAGTTAATGTTCAGTTGTAATGATTGGGCATCTTTTTATTGAATAACAGAGAGGAGTGTGGTAGGTAGAACAGGTAGTTTTAGTTTAATGGTTTGAGTTGTGCCAATGGAGAGATCTAAGCTTTATGAAGTCTTTTGCTATAACAGCAGAGAGGATGTAACACTATTCACATCTGCACATTGTTGACAGTATACACTATTTCATCTAATTATCCCACTTGTTTCTGAAAGCATTATTATCCATTTTCCATTGTGCATTATCAAAACTCAATTCAATCCAATATATCCTCCTTCAACATAATGCCAGGCTAAATTAACCAAATAATTAGTGCAGGAAGTAAGATCTGTTAGTTAAGGTAATCAGATTGCTGAATAAGCTAAACTAAACTCAGGCTTTTAATAACGTTTGCATATTTCATGTGATTATGGCAACATGTTTGTCAGCACAAGAAATTATGTAACGGCGCACACAACATAATGAAAACTAGGGCATGAATTAATCAAACCCAAACGAGGTAAATATGTTACAGTACAGTCTCATATGTAGAGAATAGGATATAATGTGACAGACAAGGTTGAAAATGTCTCCTGCAGACAGCTGTTATTTCTAATATGGCTAAAGCTCGAAATGTGACTGTTAATTAGTCCTAATGTTAGTTAGTGTAGCACATTGTAAAATTGCTGTCATGCTCATTTTTAGCATTTGTTGCAATGGTATTAGAAGTTGTAGTAGTATTATTAATAAAAGTAGAATTCCTTTGAATTACTTTTGTTAATGTGTGAAGAAATACATAACCTGATGTTATAAAGGAGATAGAGACACACCCATTGTATGTCCTGCACACACTTGTGTGTGTCTACGAGGGTGAGAGGGAGAGAGTGAGAGGGAGGGAGTTACAGAGTGCATAGTGGTGTCAGGGGGTAAGACATTAAAGGGAGAGTATTTCCCATATGCTGAGTCAGGTATTTACCATAATATACATCCTGCTCTACGCTTTCTCTGTCTCTTTCTTGTATACGCACAGGCACACACACACACACACACACACACACAGACACACACACACACATACTTTACCTTATGATGCAATAGGGTATTAACTGTATACAGAGGGATAGTGCTCTCTGCTTCATCCATCAAATGAGCTGTAGATGGTTAAGCATTGACTCAGGCTCCTGTTTTAGTAAATTCTCAAACGTATTAAGAAATGATCAGCCTGAACACTTCTCATTTCCCAGAAAGTTCAAATACTGAGCTTTTAATTTAGAATAACAATAATCTTCCTCTGGGATACTTTGGATGTACTAGTGCAAAATTAGACTTTGTTTCTAAATCCTAAACCTTTAATAGCAGATTTTTTGGCCACTTGGGGGCAGCAGAAAGGCTATATTGAGACAAACCGTGGATAATCGAAAAACACTAGCAGTGTCAACTTCAAAGTGAAAATGGCAACAAAAGAATCAACCAACAGTAATGTGACCACCACGTATGTTGATTACAAAACAGCACAGGGAAAATAAAAGTGACCAAGTAGAACACAAACAGCACAAAAAGGCAAGCAATACACACCAACATACACCAACATATGCTAGGCTGTGTTTTCTTTGGCTTTTTCTGTGTATAATCTGTTGTGCAAGTGCAATGTTGGACCAGGATGAAGAGTGTTTTGAAGGTGAATTCTGTGTGTTGAAAGCCAGAAAGGGACAGCTGGAAATGAAAGACTGACTTTACAATTTGACCCGACCAATCTCCTAAAAGCTTCAGATAAGGTTAATTAACGGATGATGTCCGGTTTTAGCGCAGGCGAGAGGAGACAAGTAGACCTTCACCCAGCTGCTGAATGAGAAATTGATCTCTGACTTTTTAAAATGATTGCTTGGTCAAAATAACGCGGGTGTGTGGTTGCCTCTTTTCTCTTGTTCCTTTATGCGATGAATGTATTTAGAGTTTTTAAGAGCACAGTGAGTGAAAGTGCATCATTATGTCTTTCATTACATGTTAGAGAGGACCGTAATGATATGCAGCAATTTTCTACTAAAACGTTCACCTTTCAAAGACATCTTTGTCATTGCCGCTTGTGGTCAACCAGTGCAAACTCTTAGTCATTGTTCCAGAGATAAAATCCTTACAGTGAGTGACCTTTAAGTTATGCTGCGTGGGGGGAAATCTTTCAAATGATTGGATGACCTTTTGTTTCACATCATCCTCCAACCCTTTCCTAAGCTACATATATGGCAAATACAGCAGTCAGGGCAGCGGAGGATTCTGTCAAAAACTGCACCTTGTAGGAGTGCATTACAGTTATTATTCTGACAAATGCTCCAATAATACAATAAACCCTTTTTGGGCAAGCACTAAAATGGCTAATATATCACACTGATAGCTGAGGAGGAGTTGAATTCAGATGCATTATTCCATTTAGTGTTGAATAAAGCAACAGAAACTGGTGCTGATGTGTGCTCTCCTCTCTCCCCCTTCTCTTTTTCAGTGGGATGTTTTTCGATGGCAATCACACCTACATGATTGAACCTGGAGGACAGGGCAGCAGCGATGTAAGTACTCTACATGGAAATGTATGTGCTGTAGGAGCTAGTGATGGCTCATCTCAGGGAGGGTTTATTAGTTATCTCTCCTTCCATCTTTTCACGTCCAGCTGCCTCTCAGCCCTGTTGAGTTTTCTGTGGTCAGAGAACTTGTTATAGCAGCGGTTCGCAAACGTTTTGGTTTCATATACCCACACACTCTTCATCATCATCACCTGACATCTTCCAAAAGGATATTAAACCCTACCATTAGTCAACCGATCGATTAGTTGATGAACAGATAATTAACTTAATATTAATTAAACTGATTATGTTTGGCATGTCAAATAAAATACATCAAATGGGGTGTGAGATGATAACATGCGTATTTCACTATTTCTGACATTGAAAGACAAAACAATTAATTGAGTAAACAAGAAAATAATCAGCAGATAAAAGATAATTAATAATGGGAATAATTGTTAAGGAATGTATGCAGGGTGTTTATACAGATTACAATACTATGACTGCCTTCCAGTGTTGATTGACATTCATGAAACAATAATTGCAATCCAATAACATAATATACATAATTCTTAAATGGGCCATTCTGCATCATGTGTACTTGGTACTTTGGTACTTATATTTTGATTTGCCAATTTGCCAAATCCCTCTTGATGTTAATTTGTAATCTTTGTGTATTTGTTTTCCTTCTTAACACATATTAGGATTGCTGATTTTTCAAATTAGCTGAGCTACTCCACAATATTTCAATGTACCTCCTGGCAGCAACAGAAGTACCCTCTGGGGTACACGTAACCCTGCCTGTAAATCACTATGCAACAGGACTGTGTGTGCAGCAGATGACAAGTGAGAGTAGTTTTCCTGGTATTCTGGATTCATACAGGGGTCAGTTATTGTCCTGAGAGGAGGTTAACACAAAACCAGAATCAGTTACAGATCACACACCAGTCATTGTAATGAACCCTGAGTGTGGCACACAGGTCTCAGGACAGAGAGATTTGCTGGATTACAAAGCCTGCAGACAGCAGAAAAGCCTATAGCCAATTAGATAATAACAATTAAAGGCATTATGGTTGGAACGAAAGGACAGATCTGAGATTGTCTAAAGGCGCCTTGAGCATGAGAGTGAAAGAACAAGCTGGTGATACTGCGTGTGTGTGTCCTTTCTGCTCTAATTAAAACGTCCACAAGAAGTGTGTGTCTGGTGTTAATCAGACAGGGACGAAAGGAGACAAGATAAGAGAGGTCAGGGATTTGTGTCTGTGTTTGCGTCCGTGTGTGTGTGTGTGTGTGTGTGTTCTGTGGAACTGTGTATGTGCACTCATGGGGTAGTAGCGGCCTGGCACACAGAGCTACTTAAGATTCATCCCCCATATGACAGCTTTAGTGCCAACGGTGTTGAAAAAGTGCGCAGGAGAAGAAATGAAGAGGATGGACATCAGGTGAGGGTTGAGAAGAGGAATTTCAGCTGAGGAAAGGGTGACGGGAAGGAGGCAGGTACACAGAGGAGAGTGGTGTGGAGCAAAAGAGAAAAACACTGTTGGTGATTTAAATGTAATTTGATTGCATGTCATTGTATCTTCTGCAGGGAAACTGTAAAACAAGACGGAGTAATCAGTTTATAATGGCAGTTGCTATATCACAGTTATACAATACTGACAGAGGAGAGGAAATTTGGAGTTAATGAAAGCAGTTTTCTGAATGTGAAATATTGATAGAGGACAGAGAAATAATGACAATAACAATCACTAGGTTTATTTCACTTTTGTCTCGGCTCTCTCATTTCTTCCACTTCTTCTTTACGTCCTCCTTTTCTGGCTTCTTCTTCTTCTCTGTCATTCCTCTCCAATGTTTTCTGGAGAGACTGAATTATTCAAGCGATGAAAGAGAGAGAGAGAGAGAGAGAGAGAGAGAGAGAGAGAGATCTTAACTCGGAATATTGCTGCAGCACTCGTCTTCAGAGATACAGTATCTCAGTAGCCTCTTTTGGTCTTTCACACAGACACATTGACGTAAAATGCACATAAAAACTGGAAGAGATTCTCCACCAGTTCAGTTTTTATATGCGTGTCATAACAAACACAAACACTGCTGCGTATCAAATCTTAAAACTACAGCAAGACATGTTTTGGTTGCACAAATACAAAGCCAGAAGAATGACATTCATCATAACGTTATAAACCGATTTATATTATTTCAGGTAACATAAGTTTATGTGCAACATTTCAAATGAATGGCACCTAATGGAAGAAGAACATGAAATGCTACCTATGCTATCCTATTTTTTTTTTTCTGTTTTCATCTTGCTTAACAATATATTATGTAAAAATAACAATAGAAAAGATGGAAAAAAATTTCAAAATCATTGAGTATTCACATTGGCAGTGGTGGAAAGTAACTATAGTGAGTACATTTTGTCAGTATTTTATCAAGTATTTTACAATATTGTGGTCCCATTTTATGTTACTTTATTCTTCATAATTGACAGCTTTAGTTACTTTGCAGATTTAACATACAAAACATTTTATCAGATATGTATTATAGATTAAACTATCCAACAAAATTGTTATACTCACACGAGTACTTTTACATTTGATAAATTAGTAATTTTTGCGAATAACACTATATTATTTCACTGAAGTAACATTCTGAATGCAGGACTATAACTTAACTTCTGCTCAAGTAAGTTAAAGCATCTCAATACCTGTTTCACCACTGCACTGTGTGAATTATTGGAGTTTTTGTAAAATACCTGATCTTAGCTCAAAGATCTAGAAACTATAAATTATATAAAACATGGTTTTCCATAATGTAGCATACATACTGTCATGTTTCTTGGAAAATATTTGGTATGTAGCTCCATTGGTACTATTGGTTTTGGCTTGTCAGGTGGGGAAATCCTGTCTGCATAACAATGCTGGGGACAGCGCTGCCCTCGAGCCCGACGGTGGCTGTCAGTTTGTCAGCACTGAGCTCTGGATGTCTGCTCCCTGTGGGCGATGGTCCACACTGACTGTCTCGCCCCCTCTGAATCTCTGGGCTCCACACGGTGTATCTCTTTCTCAATATCACTCTCAGTCTATGTATCTTTGTCTCTTTGACAGTGTGCTTGGTCTGCAAGTCGTCACGCAGACACACAGATGTCTGCTGCAAGAACCTAAGTGCTCGGCATGTATCCTGTGTATCAGCACACACAGAAAATAGAGGAGAGAGAGGGCTCTCTCTTTTTAAAAGGTTGTATGCTCAGTCATGGTCTTGTTATAGCCTGGAACAGCTACATATCACTCTTTATCAGTTAGTATTGTTATTAAATGCAGAGGGTTTGTGCCCCTTTGATGCACCAGTAATTCCGGCTGTTATAATCTAGTTTAAAGTGATAAAAAAAAAAAAATATGGCGGGATGGGGGGTGTGTTGAGATAGAGAGTCGGCAGGACTCCTGTCGGCCATATGGTAAATCCATCTGCCCTTCTTCCACCAAGGCAGAAAAAGTTATGCAGGGCATTAGCTAAGTGTGTCCTGAACAAGCTGCTCTCGTCACCTTCTGCAACTGAACTGGTCTCAAAGTGTCTTATCATATTATGTAAATAGGGTGGGAACAAGTAGAGTACAGTTGTGAGCCATACAGAGCGCCAAAATTAAAGTTCACACGCTAAGAACGTGATGTACCCGCCCGGGCGATACATATCTGATAAATCTTGCACTTCTTGAGTGCATAAGTGTTTGCATGTGCGTGCAGACAATTTGGAGTGAGGATGTGTGATACTGGCTTGCATGTGCAGAAAACACCATATGTTCAGCCCTCTTCTTTTTTTGGACACCTTTCAACCCCACCTGCACCTCAGGGCCACTGTGGCTTCATCCCAACAGCTCTTTTCTATTTTGCTTTCAGCGAGGACTGAGACAGTAAGAAGTGTTGTGTTTTGTTGATGGCGCAGTGACTGTGATTTTGGTGCTGCAGCACATTTCGACTGTAAAGAAAAAACAAAAAATATAAAGAAATATTATATATACATATATATATACTGTATATATATATCTACACACACACACACACACACACACACATATATATACACATATTGTTAAAGGGAGTTCGGTCTAG